TATATATCTACTAGGCAAGCTTAGAAATACATTGAATGTAAGACTGATAGAACTAAAGGAAGAAATAGGCAAATTCACAAATATAATTAAATATCCAAATAGCACTCTGAGTAATCAGTAGAACAAGTAGACTAAATGTCAATTATTATACAGAAGATTTGGGTAACACTGTCAAACACCTTGTCCTAGATTACACTAAAGAGAAGCCTTACTGTTCTTCAGAGAATCAGAGTTCAGATACCAGCACCCATGTTGTGTGACTCACAACTGCTTGTTAACTCCAGCTCCAGGGGATCAGATGCCCTCTCCTGGCCTCTATGAGAACCTGCACACACATCATAGAAAGAGAGAGAGAGAGAGAGAGAGAGAGAGAGAGAGAGAGAGAGACAGAGAGAGACAGAGAGAGAGCGAGAGAGAGGAGAGAGGAGAGAGAGAGGAGAGAGAGAAATAAACACAAATTAATCTTTAATTAATCTTTAGAATAACACACTGGTAAAAGAAGAACCCAAAGGGAAACTATGAAGTATTCTGAATTGAATTAAAAGAAGTCACTGTGGTAGAACAAATGGAATATAGCTGAGTAACACATAAAGAGGAATTGTAGTAACTAAAGGCCTCTTATTAGAAAATTGAAATGTTCTAACTAAATGACTTAAGCTTACATTGTCCAGAACATAAAGAGAATAGTGGTGTGTGTGTGTGTGTGTGTGTGTGTGTGTGTGTCAAAGTAAACCCAAAGTAAGCAGAAGAAAGGAAATAATAAAGGGCAGACTAGAAACTAATAGAACAGAAACTAAAGCAGAAGCATAATAGAAAAAATTCAATGAAATCAATCAGCCATTCTTATGGTTAAAATTAGAGACTAGCCATATGAACTGTTGGTGGGAATGTGGAGGAACCGAAGTTCTCATACAATGCTGATAGTAGTGCATATGTGTATATGCATTGTATACTGATTCCGGAAGATAGTGTGGCTGACTGGTCGTTGTCTGAGCTTAGCATTGGAAGGATAAGTTACTATAAAGGAAAGGGGAGAAACTTTGGATGTGGTGAAAATGTTCATTCTTTTGATTATGTTTTCACAGGTATATACATATTTTAAAATTCATCACATTTTATATTTAAAATGTATAGTTTAATGTAGTATTATGGTTCAATAAAGTTAAAAGTATATGATTATAAATTGAGATTTCATCAATGAATTCTGTTTTAGAAAAAGATTTATTTATTTATTTGTATGTGTAGGGCAGTGCACATGTATCTGTGTGCATGTGGAGGCTGGAACAGGGTGTCTGGTGTTCTCCTTTGTCTCTCTCCACCTATTCATTTGAGGCAGGGTCTGCCTCTGAACAAGCCCCAGCAATCTTTCTGACTCTGTCCCCCCAAACAAAATTAAAACTAGAATTAAAAGAATTTGCAGAGATGCTCAACTTGTTCAAATGAGGGTTCTGGGATCTGAACTCCAGTCCCCATGATTGTGGAACAAGCACTCTTAATCCCCGAGCCATCTCTTCAGCCTTCCTTTGTATGTGGTATTGAATCAGAATACACCCAAGTTTCTTGGAATGGAATTTTCATTCTTGTTTTCTGTTTCTCTTACACACTGCTTAAGAATGTCAAGTAGGAATTTCTGTCTTCCTCAGCAACCAGAAATGCTTGGATTGTCTCATTGAAGTCAGTTTTTCACAGTCTGAGTACACACAGGTTACAGTTTGGCTGTTTCAGGGCCTCACTCAGCACAATCACCCCATTGTGGTCCAAGGCATTCTTCAACAAATTGATTCCCTACAAGGTTTTACTGTGGTTTAGCAGAAGCTAGGTCCTCCTAGTTAGCTCACAGGCCTCCAATTCAAGATTCTCTGAGCATCAGTTGGGATGTTTCACAGCTTTACATAACAGCTTTACCTCAGTGTCCTCTAGCTTATTTCCTGAAATCTGTGGACTTCTCAGGTTCCTATTGCTGCTGAGGACTGCAGCCAAGTCTTGACAGCTTCTGAATGGTCATGATGGCTAGGTTGACCATGGGCACGTTGTGTAGTGACTGCTCACAGGCCCAGCCCCAGGCAAGAGAAGTGCACCAGGGTGTAGCACTATAGGGAGAGGGGTCACAATCACCCCATTGCCTTTTTTTTTTTTAAAGGGCAGGTAGGGTTAAATTTCAAGAAATCAAGCAATAATGCACCTGACCTTGATACAAGCTCATTAAACAAAATTAAGATATGTTTTAATATGGTAATGATGGATTTTGTCTGTCTGTCTGTCTATATAATGCACTGAGTCCATTTATATGTGCTTGTATGTGCCTGTGTTTAGGCATGCTCACTTGGGATTAGATAGTCTCTCAAGGAGCTTGTCCCTGGAGAAAACTGATTCCTCCTCCCTCATGCATCCATTGGTTGCCTGTAGCTCTTCATCTTGAGGTGGGACCCTGTGAAATTTCCCCCTAAGCCTAACCCTAATTCTAAATGTGAATAATGATTAAGGAAGGTAGGAAAACATACAATCAGGTTGAATTTGTAGATTTGTGAAAAGTTGTCAGAAAAGTTTTTACATGAGTAAAACATTATAATTGATTAAAATCAGCCCTTACTATATAAAATATTTTGTCTATATGGGCTCCATCTGCTTCAAATGCATTAGATACATATATGGGGGATACTGAGATGCACTGTTCAGATCCCTTCAGGGAATGATTGTTCCAGCTGTTGGAGTCCTGCTGGCTGCCGCTCTCTTGGCAGCAGAGTACCTTACAGGAAGTCCCTCCATTGAGGTGGAGCCATGAAGCCCTGGGCATTTTGACCCATCCTAGGACAAACATGACAGTTTTTCTGCTCCATGCATCTCCAATGGTGCTGGAGTCCTACTTCACTATAGATGTCTCCTTCTGCCCTGTCCTGTCCACTTCCTCCCACAGGGGTTTGTCCCAAGGGCACTCCCTAAGCAACATCCTGCTTTCTAAACTGCTTCAGAGTCTGCTTCCTGTGGATGTCAAACTGTAACAGCATTTTACTGAAAAATATTACCCAAATTGGAGACCTCCAGGGAGAAGAAAATCATCAAGTTATGTTTTAATATTTTAGCTCAAGTGTTCTCACATTTTTATTTTGAATTGTTTATACTTAGCATGATATTATGGTTCACATTTTCTTTCATATAGGCTTGGCATTTCCACCTCCTCTTTCTCAAAGGAGTCATATTATGAAAATATGAAAAGGTAGGAGAAGCAGGTTCTTTATTTCCTAGCCAGCCATTCAGGAAATCCACTATTTCAAGGTTGGCTTAGGCAACAAGAACAGAAGTAAACAGGGACACGTGATAGTTGTTTTGTTCTGAATACTGAACCAACAGAAAGTTCTAAAGTGGTGTGATTATTAGAACCATCCCCGGATGTTCTAAGGAAGCCATTTAACATTATTTAAGCTTGGATATTTAAACTGCCACTCAAAACTCTCAGACCCAAATATAGTTAACAGTTTTGAATATCAGCAAAGGAGACACTTCCTCCTGTCTTCCCTGGCAGCTCCAGAGGAGGGCAGAACAGTTGTTCCCAGACCAGCTCTCCCTTTCCTCAAAAATACCCTGTAGCCAAGCTTAGGAAGATAGTATGCATTGTGGGCATGTAGTGTGTGTGTGTGTGTGTGTGTGTGTGTGTGTGTGTGTGTGTGTGCGCGTGTGTGTGACAGATTTCATGACGTTCAACTTTGATCACTAGAAAATAGTCTTGTATGTCCTTGTTCTGATTTTTGTGGGAACTCTATGTAACCGGGAGATAATAACTTAGGACAGAACAAGCTCTCATAACTGGAAGGAAAAGAAACTGTCCTCATAATTTAGGCCAAAAGCACACAGACAAAAGACCCCCCCCTGCTTTTTTTTTGTTTTTTTGCAGTGCTTGGAATTGAACCCAGAGTTTAATTGTTGGGTTAGGCAAGTGCCTCTGCCACTAAACTACCCTATGAACCCTAAGTTGTTCTTTTTCTTATTCCTGTGCTGGGAATTGAAAGCATGTGCTTTATACACACACACATACACACACACATATATAAAATTATCTGTATATCAATGACATATGATTTAAAAAAAACATCTCTCAGTGTCTGGTTCTAGTACTACTCTCTCCATATCAAAATCCAAGATGCATACTCCTTTATATAAAATGGAATAGCATTTATGTGTAACATGAACATCATCCATGGACTTTTAAATCATCTATAGCTTACTTATAATACTTAATGCCATGTCAATGCTGTGCAAAGAACTATTATTTTAGGGAACATCGGCCAAAAAACTTGTGCACATTCATCACAGGTGCACCCCCCATTGTTTTCAATTTATGATTAGTTGAGTGCCAAGCAGAACTTGTGGATGAAGATGACCACCTGAAATTTGGCTTAGGCCTCTCCTTTCGGAGGCATGTGTTCGAGATGATTACCTTCTGAGCCACTGTAATATTTAAATCTTGTATATTTTGGATTATTACTTCAACCATACTTGTCAATTTGGGGGTATGGTGGTCGGTCTCTTGTAAGGCAAGACAACTGTTTGAGAGAAAAGAAAAAAGATGGAAATACAAAGTTCAGGAGGAAATGCTTTTCCTAGAGTCTTGTTCCAATTCAGACTTTCTCTAGGGAGGTCTCAGTTTCCCTACTGCCAAATGGAATTAGGAGATTAAATAATGAAGCCAGGATAGCACAGTGTATTGGGTACACGTTGACTGCCAAGTCTCCCATAAAGAGATGTAGAAAATCATTTAAAGCTCCCAGGGACTGATGAACCCTTCTTCCCCTTTCTATTATTCCCTGTTATGGCACTGGAGATCATAAAACAGGCTCTTCCACTCTCTTCCTTCCTTCCTTTCAACCTCTCCAAGATAAGGAGGTAGCCTTCTTTGTTCCCTTGGATGCGGAAGCTGGTGTCACCCAGGGCAGCCCAGCCCTCTGGCTTGCTCAGGTCTGGGGGAGGGCTGCAGCTTCAGCCTGCACCGCAGCGGGAGGCGGCTGGAGGCGATGGGGAGGCGGGCACAGTAGACCCAAGGGTGGAGAAGGGGGAAGGCGACGGACGCGCGTTCCGGGCTCGTGACCGCTGGTGGCCCAGGGAACCGGCGCCCACACAGCCTTGCAGAGATGGCAGGCAGCGAGAACTGGCGCGTCATGGGCACCTTCCACCTGCTGCTGCTGGCGGTCGTCCTGTCCCTGGCAGCTGCGAGTCGCAGTCGGGGAGCAGCTGCCTGGACCCAGGAGAAGGTAAGGCCAGGTCCCCCTGGGCTAGCGGGAGTCGGGCCACGGTTGCGGTGCCGGCCCAGGGGCCAGATCCTCACCCAGCGCCCAGGGAGCCAGCTCTCTCGGTTGCAGCCTGGGCGCCTCACTGGCCTCCGGGCTACGTTGGAGATGCCAGGGGCTGGGTGATGTCACTCGCCTTTCCCTTGATTGCGCTCCGATTGGGGTGCTGATAGTGAGACACAGCAAGTGTGTCTCGTGGTCTGTGACCGAGCAGGGGCAAAGAGGGCGCTGACGCCCACTCTGGACCAGCGAGGCCAGCGGTCCCCAAGCTCTCTGGCCGCCAGAAGTGCACCTGGGGGTGTGCCTGCGGCTCCCCAACAGCTGCATCCAAGGATGCTCCGTCGGAATTGGGTTTCTCTGTGGGTCTAGGACCAGGGGGGTTTTAGATACTTAGATTTAAAAGAAGTGCATGCTGTTTTCAGAGAAATGCATTTGGAGGGAGTGAAAAATCTTTTATAAGGAACTCAATAAAAATGATGTGCAAATCCCTGTTTATTAAGTAAACAGAATCACAATTCCTTTTTCTTGTGTCACAGTTTTGAAATCATGAAATTGCTAGGCGCTGTGCAAATGTTGATGGTTTTGGATTAAAATGTTACACTTTCAAAGAAACTAAGAAAAGCAACAATCTAGGGATGTAAACTTTTGACATTACGGAACGGTTCTAAATGGTTTCAGTACGCCTGTGTTTACGCCCCTTTGAAATACTCCCAAGGAGTGTCATACACATGTATATGGATGGCTCACTTCAGTTGAGTTTAGGCTTAGCCAGCTTCCCTTCCAGACCGGGTAACAATCCCCACTTGCACCGGGAGCATGGTGTGAGAGAAGTCAACTCCAGTCACTTCAGTACAGTGTAACAGCGTCCTATGAAGGTTCAACAGGAGCGATGCCCAAGCAGTGGAGCATGGAAGTACATGCAAAATCCTTTCCTTTCCTACTCTGGGGTATCTTCCTGGACAGACCTTGGAAAGGGGATATTAAAACCGGGATGTGGGGGCCTGGAGAGATGGCCCAGCAATTAAGAGCACTGACTACTCTTTTAGAGGACCTGGGTTCCATTCCCAGCACCCATATGCGGCTAACAACCGTCGGTAACTCCAGTTCCAGTTCCAACGCTCTCTTCAGACCTCTGCGGGCATTGCATGCACAGGTCCACTTAAATACATGCAGGCAATATACTCATACACATAAAATTAATAAAACAAACAAACAAACAACAACAAAACCAGAATGTGGCTCCAGGCCAAATATGCCTTAATATATCTTAATATATCTAAATGGATGGGAATGAGGAAGTTGAAAATTCTTAACAGGAATTGAGCTCCTCTAGTTTGTGGGCATGTTTAGTACACAGGGGCTATTTCTAAGTGGGAGAAGGTGCTTTGATTCTTAAAATACTTTAAACTGAGTATTTAACTTTTGAGAAATGTTTTTAAAGAATGAATTCCTGTCATTTATTTTAAGAAGTGTCTAATCACTGTTTCATTGGGAAAACAAACTTTCATGGCACAAATAAGTGACAACCAGCCTTGACATTTCCCAGTTTACGGCCACCTCCTCCTTGTCTTGTTCTGTAGGCCTTCATCAAGTCTTCTGGGCAGCCAGCTCCACACTGTAACCTGGGAGATGAATCAGTACACACTAAAATTCATGCCTTCCTGCCTTTTATGATGTTTGACTTTTTAATCATTTAAGGTGTGCTCTTGGTACACAGGTCTGCCAACAGAAGAGGTGTGGCAATGAAAGCATCAATTTTGAAATCCATTTCCTTTGTTTTGAAAAAGGGTGTGTCTCTTTTAGTGGTGTCTAATGTGTAAAGGCAGATCAACCCTAGTTTATAAGTTGTGTTTAGAACCATGATTTGATGATTTGAAACCTGGAAACCTTTCCATAGCAACAACATTGTGAACTGTTACACTCTCAGGTGGTCCCACAGATGTAGATTGAAGGACACTGGCATGTAGGTAACATCTCACTTGAACTTCATAGTACCTTGTAGAGAGTACACTCATCTCCAGTTTAGAAATGTGGACACTATCATGATTACATCAGCAAATTGAGGTGCTAGGATTTGGCTTAAACCCTTCTCTGCCCTGTTCTTTTTTGCTCTCTTTTTCTAAGGTAGGTGAGTACTGGCTGATTGACAAGGAACGAAGTCCAGGTAGGGCAGGATTGTAGGGCTGGTATGTAGTTTGGAGTACAAAGAGCTTGCTTTCTCTTTCTGGGTCAGGGTGGACCCTAAGTGGAATTCTAAAACAGCTTGTTTTCAACTTCTCACCCTCTCTTTTCCCGTTTCCTTGACCTCCCCCTGGTCCTTGAACCTAGACCCATTCTTGTAGTACAACTTTATCTCCCAGTTGTTAAGAGGAATCTTATTAAATCAGTTCTCTTTTAGGTGAGGAGAGCTGCCAGCTGTTGAAAGGTTTCCTATATTTCTAGAAGAATATTAACTTGAATAAACTAAAAAATATAGCTTCTCTTAAAGTTTTCAAATTATGAATGTAATGTGTGCATTTTAGAAAACTTAGAAAATACAGAAAATTATTCTTAAAATAAACTGAAATCACTCATAATCCCACTCTCCAGAGATAACTTCTTTCAATCTTTTTGGTGTTTTATTTCATCCCTGTACTCACACAGATACATGTATATATAGATGTATATTTATAGGGATGAATAACAATTATATCAGTTCAGGTTTTCATAAGGATTGAGTGAGCTAATTCAGTGGCTGACTTATGATAAAGTGGCTGACTTATGATAAAGATTCAATAAATTTTAATTATTTTAAAATAAATTAATGTATTTCATTCTATTCTAGAGTTTGTACTACATATACAGTTTCATATCTTACTCTCTTGAATAGTAGTATGTCATGAGTGCTACCTTAAGTGAATAAGATTTATTGAAAGTATAACTTGATTGCAAAACCATCACCAGTCAATAATTTATTTCTTTTCTTTGAATGTTAAGGTTGTTTGAAAACCTTGTCTATTATAAAATTGGAACCCAGTACATTTTATTTTGTCTTTTTTTTCCCCCTCCCTGGAGCTGAGGACCGAACCCAGTGCCTTGTGCTTGCTGGGCAAGTGCTCTACCACTGAGCTAAATCTCCAACCCCTGAACCCAGTGTATTTTAATCAGAAGAATTTTCCTTCATTGCAGCAAAGTTGAACCAGGAAAATTCAGTATTAGAGGTGGAAGGGCAGAGACTCTGAAGTCCCCATGGTAGGCTGTGGCAAACTGTAAACCACTCTCTCATTTCACATTCTTCTGCTTCTGGCATTCCTCTTATTCTCAAAGTCCATAAGACTCCCCTCCTCCATGGTTCTAAGTCCTTAGTCATCCACCCATCCTTCTCCTGTGTGATTCTTCTGGAAGCAATACTGAAGACTTCAAGGCAGAAGGGACCAAGAAATTAGTGGTGAGCTGAGTATTGGTAGAAGGAGAAAAACAACTGTCATTTTGGGGTCTCTACCATCTGGTAGATAAGTATTATGATATGCATGTACACATTAGGAATCTTTTCTTAGACACAACTATTGAATGAGGAGCTGGGATTAGACTCTTAAGTTTTTGTGTTTAATCTCACTCTGCTCAAGTGTTAAGAAGCAAGGCTGGGGCTGGAGAAATGGCTCAGTGGTTAAGAGCACTGGCTACTCTTGCAGAGGACCCAGATTCCTAGCACCTACATGGTGGATAACAACCACCTGTAATTCCAGTTCCAGGGAATCAGAGCCCTCTTCTGACCTCTGTGGGCATTGCATGACATGGGTGCACTTATGTACATGCAGGTAATACCCTCATACCTATAAAACAAAAATAATAAATATTTTTTTTTAAAAAAAATCAAGGCTGTTTGCATTAGAAAAAGACAGTATCTTGTTTGGTTTCCAACTGTCTTCCAGCTGCATTTGTACTCTGTGGCCCCTGACACACAATTTCAGTAAGTGTCTTATACTTTCAGGTAGCAGAAGTTTAATCTGACTACTGTCTGGAATGCTCATAGAGGATGGAAACTTGAATGAGCTGTATTTCTGTAATGATCTCCCTTATAATTCCCTGGTTTGGCACTTTATCTCCCTTTATAAGCTGGGCCAGCTCTCTAAATTATGTAACCAAATCCTTTGACCTGGGACTGCATGATTAGATGACAGGAGGTGGTTCAGGATATCTGGTTCACACGTTTTTTTTAGCTGAAAGATTCTTGTCACCTAGAGCAGACTTTATTGTCATTTCTGCTTGGATGAAAATGCAAGGCCACGGCTGTAACAGAGCCTCATCCCTCTGAGAATGCCTGCATCAGTAGAAACTGTTGAAGTACCTTTTAATTGAAGTAAACCTAGAGTAAGTTTGAAGTTTACATTTACCCTTGGGCTCAACACTGTTTTGCTTATTTGTTTGTTTTAAGACAGGGTCTAGCTCTGCAGCCCTGGCATAGGGCTGGACCTTTACTATGTAGATCAGGCTGTCCTCAAACTTGTGATTTTCCTGTCTCTGGCTTCCAAGTGCTGGGATTCCCTGTGTGCACCACCATACCCAGCTTCAGTATAGTTTTAGGTTCTGTTACTGTCCTGCTGAGGCTACCCTTTCTTCCCACATTTGTCTTCTGCATTTTTCTTCTTTCCTAATAGTTTTTTTTTATTGTTAGTGAGTTCTGGGAGTAAGATTCCTTAATTGTTCAATGTCTGCCATTTAACCTTGCTGAGTTAGATGTCTTTCCATATAGACAGGCTTAAGTAATTAAATGAGTGTAGTTGTTTCATCGTCAATGTTCTTCACTGACTAGGAAGTTTGCTATCTCTGTGATTTTGAAGGTAATAATGAAATCAACCATTTTCTGACTTAAGCCAGGAGGCTGAAGATCTACAGTGCTTATAAGTCTGTTTCAGGAATATCCATGGTCCTGTCTACTAAACTTACTATCAGCTACTAAGACATATATTTATTATTTTTATTATGTATAAATGTGTGTGTCAGTGTGTGGTATATGCACTTGAGTGCAGGTGCCCTTAGAAGCCAGAGACATCAGATCTCCTGGGAGCTGGAGTTTCAGGCAGTTTTGAGCTGCTTGACATGGTTGCTGGGAATTTAAATCAGGTCCTCTGGAAGAGCAGTGTGTGCTTAACCACTGAGCCATCTCTCCAGCTTCATCACTAAGATTTTAAAAAGTATCATCATCTAGTTTCATCCATAATATCTTGTCCAGTTAGAGATTGCAATGTTTAAATATTGATTGCCAACTTGACAGAATCTAGAATCACATAGGTGAGACAAACCTCTGATGTGGAAAGACCCACTCTAAATATGGGAGGCACTATTTCAAGGACTGAATAAAAAGGAGAAGACGAGCAGAGTACCAGCATTCATCTCTCTCTGCTTCCTGATTATGGATGTGATATGACCAACTGCCTCACTCTCTTGTCACTATGCCTTCTTGTCATGATGGACTGTAACCTCAAACTCTGAGCTAAAATAAATCCTTCCTTAAGTGGTTTTGTCTGGTATTCTGTCACAGCATCAAGAAAAAAAATAATACAGAGATGTTGGAGAGATATTTATTTTACTACTGCCTTGCTTGTCTTTTAGGAACTTTGTCAAACCTCTTTAAATCACTTATTTAACCATTAGCTTGATTTCCTTTCAGTGTGGGCAGGAAGCAAAGATCTTTGTCTACAATGACTGGTTAGGCCTCGGGATTGAGAAATGGACAGTAGATAGAAAACAATCCACTGGTGAAACAACATTTTATTTTATTTATTGCTTAATTGTTATTATTATTTTTTGAGACAAGGTCTCCCTGTAGCCCCAGCAGGTGTGGAACTTGCTATGTAGACCAGGCTGGCCTTGATCTCACAGAGATCAAACTACTTCTGCCCCTGAGTGCTAGGATTAAGGTATGTACCACCATGTCTGGTTGAAACAGCTTATTAAATAACATTTTTAAAAATCTATTTATTGTGTGTGTGTAGGTACATATGCCACAGCACACATGTGGAGGTAGAGAACAACTTGTGGGAACTGGTTCTCTCCCTCCACTTTGTGGATTCTGGGGATTGAACCTAGGCTATCAGGCTTGGCAGCAAGCACCTTTACTAGCTCAGCCTTCCTGCTGATCCTAAAGAAGCTTTTGACACAAACGTTCTTGATTGTCACTGAGATGGCTCTGGGCCAACTCAGATCTGAATTGTCAGAAGCATTGACTATTGGAAATTAAAAAAGGACAAAGCTTACTAACATGGAACAGCCTGGCCCTCTGTAACAGGTCTGTCTGTCTCTTCTCCTTGTGCATTCAGCTAGTTTAGTGCTAATGAAGATAGAAACGCAAATTTTACTTTGCTATTATGTAAACACATTTTTAGCTAAGATAGTTTTAGAAAGAGAGTTCATCTATTGATTTCTTGAAATTGCCCAATATTTATTGAGTGCTCAATATGGACCAGGTCCTGTGCAGCTCTGGGAAGAGACACGTAAACAGGAAGGAGTCCTAGCCATCATGTAGTCTACGGTTTGTATGACATTAAACACGTAACACATGAGACACGGCCTCCAAGCTGAAATATGAAGAAGGCGAGAGTTTGCCACATGAAGACAATCAGTCTGAAAGATAGATGGCATACACTACTGACACCAAGGCCCCAAGGGGCAGAGCCTCAGGAAGCGTGGATACCAGGAGACCAAAGCAAGGAGAACTGGTGCCTGCAGCACTGCATGGGGCTTGCCAGTCAGCAGGAGACACAGACAACCTTTTGTTGGACGGTTAAGTAACAACCATGAAGATCTTCTCCCTCTCCCCTCAATTTTCTTCTGCTTCCACCTCACATTTCTAACATGAGATCTAACATGAGGATTTAGACCCTGGAGGTACTAAGGAATTAAAGGCTACAATGACTAATCTGTTGAGGAAGTATATTTTTTTGTTATACAGGGTCATTTTTATACAAGTATAGAATGTACTTGAAGCATATCTTACCTCCTGTTCCTCACTATCTCTCCCCTTCTTCCCTTCCCCTCCTGTTAGTCCCCTTTGCTCTCCACAAAGTTTTGCTTCTACTTTCAAGTCATCAGTGTATATATGAGTTTATATATCTATAAAGATGATGTGATTATCTCTAGTTGAATCTAGTTTCCTGAAAATGACACATTACAGAACTAGACTTCAATTTTTTTTACATTTATTTGTGTGTGTGTATGAGAGAGAGAGAGAGAGAGAGAGAGAGAGAGAAAGTGCGTGTGTGGAGGTCAATGGACAACTTGTGGAAGTCAGTTTTCTCGACACAGTACAGAGATAGACAGTGATATTTTTTATATTTATTTGTGTGTGTGTGTGAGAGAGAGAGAGAGAGAGAGAGAGAGAGAGAGAGAGAGAGAGAAACAGCATGTGGGAGTTGGTTCTCTCCTTCTACCTTGTGGGTTCCAGGGATTGAACTCAGATTCCTCAGGCTTGGCAGCAAGTGCCTTTACTTGCTGAGCCATATTGCTGGTCCCCAGAAATATACTTTAAAATGTGCTACCAATGAACAAATAGGAACCTTGATACATTCAGGCACAATGCCAACATTAAAGAGTAAAGTGGAAGTGCAGCGGTGAGGTGGAAGAACGAGCACTGGATTGGGAACCCACCTACCACGGCTCTTTCACTGGATTTACCTATAGCTCGCTGCAGCTCCTACAGTTGGTTTCTACAAACTTCACTTGTCACTGAGAAATCAAGGAGGTTGGGCTAGATCATCTCTAAGGGGCTTTTCTAGCTCTAATATTCTATACCTCTTTAGGGTTTGACAGAGGGAACAATAGACCTAACAGACTGAATATTTATTAGGCAATTTACATATGTTAGTTCATTTACTTCTAATTACCTTTGGATGTAGGTGCTAGTAGCTGCATTTTATAGATGGAGGAATGGCGCCTTAATGAGGTTAAGTAACCTGGCCAGAGTTACAGCTGAGTTGAAAGCTGAATTGAGAGGCTGTATCTGATCCAATAGCCTATACTCTTCCCCTAGTAAACACTGGGCCATCTCAAAGTGTGGTGGAATACAAGTCATTAGGCAACAAGCATTCTCTAATTCTACAGTGTCTCACCAGCTTCCTGGGGTGATTCATACAGAGTGAAACTGCCTGCATGATTATTTTAAACATATACAATTAACACTAATCCTGGATGGAACTATAGGATAGGTAATGCTCTCTCAATTTCTGTTTTGCATTACAAGTAATTCAATATCTTTGTGTCACCTTCATTATTATCATTAGGGAAGAAATCATTTAATCTACAATTCATCTCCCTTTGAGGAGGAGTAACACATTCCCTCAGAGTATCTGATAAACTTGTAATGGATGAATGACTAATTGTTTTGAAGGTCATCAGAAAATACAGCATGTATAAAGCCACATTCAGGATACAAATTTGAATGTTAGGCTCATTTTTTTAAAAAAAGTTTCACTTTAATATATAAGTGTATTTAAGAACATGAGCCTCAATAGAATATTAAAATAATTTAACCAAAGATTTAAAAGAATTCCTATTTAGCAGGTTATAGACTCATCCCACTCAGGTTGAAAGAGTGTCACCAATCATCTGAGTCAGTGCTAATAGAAACAGGCAATGAGGGCTGGGGGAGGGGTGACTCAGTGGCCGAAAGTGCTTGCTGTGCAAGCATGAGGACATGAGTTTGACTGCCCAGAATCCATGTAAATGCCAGATGTATAGTTGAGGGCCTGTAATCCTAGCACTCCTATGGGAGGATGAAAGATTGAGACAGGAAAGGCCCTGGGAGCTCACAGGCCAGCTAGCCTGGTGTATGCAGGGAAAAAGGTTGTCTTTTGGTTTCCACACGTGCACGATGTTACATACACACACACACACACACACACACACACACACACACATGAACACGCATACACACAGTTTAGTCAAACAACTTTTAAGGGTAAGTTCTCTCCTCCCACCGTGTAAGTCCTGGGAATTGAACTTAGGTCATCAGACTTGCTTGGCAGCAAGTGCCTTTTACACACTAAACCATCTCATCAATCCATTTAGCTTATTCTAAAAATCTTAGTTTTACAACATAGTTACTTAGAAAAATCATTAAAAGTTATATAGGTTGTAAGTATGAAATGTTCTCATATTGAAAGCATACTGTTAATTTTATTTTTAAAACAAGCTTCCAAAGTTTTATTAAGTTTCTCGAAGATGTAAGGGGCAAATCTTGCAGCTGAGAGGTTGACCTCATGTGACATAAGACTTATTCCTTTATTTTGAGGACTTAAAGCTTCTAATTACAAATGTGTCAGGTTGTCTTAAACATATAGAATTACAGCTAAATAATTTTATTTATTCCTAGAACTATCACCAACCAGCACTTTTGAATTCTTCATCTCTTTGGCAAGTTGTAGAAGGTACCAGTATTTCTGGAATGTGGCAAAATGACTTACGACCATTGTTGATAGAACGTTATCCAGGATCACCTGGAAGCTATGCTGCACGCCAGGTGAGAATATCCCTAAAGGTTGCTTAATTTTTCGATTTACCATGGAGGATAATGTTAGGGCTGAAGTTCTGAGCTGTATAATGTTCAGCTACATCATCTCATTACTCACCATTTGAAGCAACGGAGAAAGTCACACAACAGAATAAATGGCTTTCTGAATTAAGTGGTACATGCTATTCAGAATCAGGTATGTATGAAATCTCTGTCTGGGTATAGCAGCAGGATACTAAGTTTTCAACTCTTGATCATTTCAGTAACACACTCTAGCATCCTAACCAAGTTTTCTTGGCCTCTAAAAGCCAAATGTCAACAACAGCTTTTGACAGTACTTACTTGACAGCTCTTAGCCAAGCATGAGTCACTGTGCTGTCCGCCTTCTTCCTCTTGAGGGAAATTGTTTTTTTTTTTTTTTTTTTTTTCCTGAGGCCAGTGATTGGTTTTTTTCTAGAGAAGTGCTTCTTGAACTTCTTGCTCTGATCACAGTAAAAATATATTACATATTTTGTAGACACAGAGGCACCAACATATTTAGTTGTAACAAACATTTTTGGAAAAGTAATCACTGTCATTACCTATAATTTACTTGGGTATTGTGAATTATATTTTTTGAGTTAAAAATGCTAATCATGACTCAGGAAGCTGATTTCTAGATCCACTGATTTTACAAACACTTTTTGGAAGACATTGATGTAAGGGTAGAATAAGCCATAAGTTGGACTGGACCTTGATTTTCTCTTTGTAGTGTCTATCTTCCTAAATAACATGAAATCCTATCTCTTAATACTTTTTTTGGATTAACCCCATTTCAGCGGCAGCTTGAGATGGAAAGAGACTAGCCTCTCAAATCCTCCACTTGCAGGGCTGGAGAGATGGCTTAGTGATTAAGGGTACTGGCTGCTCTTGCAGTAGACCCAGGTTTGAGTCTCAGTCACCCACATGGTGGCTAACAATGGTCTGTAACTCCAGTTCCAGGGGATCCGACATGTTCCTCTGTCCTCTGTGGGCACTGCATGACATGGGTGCAGTTATATATGTGCAGGCATAACACTTATACACATAAAATGAAAAAACAAAAAAACCAAACCCAACCAAAAAAACCATCTGCTTGTTCAACTTCTTAGACAAATAGACCTTGGCAATAATTGCTGTATCAAGAGAGACCTACAAATTCCATCTGTCCAGCTCTTAGGCTCTTCTTTACTTACTGTGTTTGCTGGCCTTTTAGCCTCCTGCTTTCCATGAGAATAGCTCCTATGATTAGACCCCAAAATCTTAATTCCTTTTAACTTTCAAGAAGACAGGACAGATAATGATGCTGGTGTCAACTTCTCTCTTCCTCCCCTCTTCTTCTTTCTCTCACTCTCTATCTCTCTCTTTCTATTTTTGTGAGACAAGCTCTCACCATGTAGCCTAGACTGACCATAAACTTGTTGCAATCCTCCTGTCTCAGTCTCCCAAGAGGTGGGATTATAGTTGTGAGCCACCATGCCTGGATTGATGATGGCCACCTTTCACTGATCACTTTTATAGCTTATTTAGTTTTCAAAACAATGCTACATTCCTATTCCAATGCACTTATTTCAAAAGGCCTGAGGTTTAGGTATCTGAAGTAATTTATTCACAGTTACATATGTACTAGTGATGAGTTAAAATTTGGGCTCAAGTCTGCTTGCTGTTTTATGACTGGAGATCTGGGAGAAACCACTTCAGTGATTTATGAACTCCAAGCTCTGGGTCTTCTCATATCACATTGAGAGTGAGGGACACATTTCATCTCACAGTCTCCTCAGAGTTTCATGCCCTAAGCATTTTCTTTAAAAGAGGGCAGGATGCTTACTGACACTTTCTAAAATCCTCAGCTTTCATTAGAAAAATATCTAAGTCTATGATACTCACTCCATTTGGTCTTTCTCATTTTCTCATATCATTTTCTCAGAAGACCATCTATACCCAGAAACGCACATGCAAACTTCAGGTCCAAGTTCCTTGTGTATGGATCCTTGAAACCCGTAAGCATATTGCTGAAGCTCTAGCTCCAATGGAACATACAGTGGAAACAGTATACATAGATACTGTTACAATTTAAAAGATACACATACATCTACAAGTGTTATTAAATCTGCAGTAGCATTGATAGTGTTTTAGAATAAGTTACGAAATTGACTGGGCTGCTTATGCATGACCTGACTGATGTAGCAGTAAATCGTAACAGGATGGCTGTATAAGAAATCTTACTTAAGAAATTCAGTTTTGTAATTTATTTTTTACTTACATCATATCTATCTATCTATCTATCTATCTATATCTATCTATCTATCTATCTATCTATCTATCTATCTATCTATCTATCATCTATCATCTATCTATCTAGCATCTAATTTGTTGTTCTTGTTTGTTTTGTTTTTGAAACAGGGTCTCACTATGTAGCCCTGGCTGACCCTGAACTCCCTATGTAGTCCAGCCTGACCTCAAACTCACAGAGATTCTTTTGCCTTTGCCTCCTAAGCACAGAGATCAAAGGTATGTGACACACACACACACACACACACACACACACACACACACACACACACAGACAGAGTGGGGTCTCACTGTCTCACTGTTTACTCATTATTTAGCCCTGGCTGGCCTGGAACTTGTGGCAAAGGGCTTCCCCATTTGAAAATGAAGTAGAGAGAGTCCTTTGCCTTCCACAGCTTACTGGGCATGCCTCTGAAAATTAATGGTGATTTCCTTATTAAAAAAATTACAAAACTGACCTGGGCATGGTGGTACACATTTTTAATTTTAACACTCAGGAGGCAGAGGAAGGTGAGTTTGAGGTCATCCAGGGGACCATGCTAATGGCCTTAATTTAACTAGGATTGGAGCCTTTCACTAAGAACTGAATTTATATATTCATGATAGCAAATGTTTTTCTCCTGACACCTTTTTGAGAACTAGATCAAATGTTTCATAGTTCATAGAGTTGCAGGGTTGAAGACCTTCAGATCTTAAAAAGCTGTGGACTTGATATAAAGTTGGTTGGTTAACTCTTGCAGTTATCAAAAAAGATATGAATTGTTATGAATTCTTTTAGAGAAAGTATTTTGAGTCATATATTAAAATCTGCATTTATGATCTTTGGTCAATGAGTCCAAAGCTGTCTAATAAATTATTGGAATATTTTTATTTGAAGATATAACTTATTTATAAATGATTTAGAAAAATAAATGATTGAAGGCATTAAATTTGGAGACATTTCATTAATTCTTAACTTAGACATAGAAAATAAATCAAGACACAGGATGATAAAGTCTCATGAAAGACAAATAAGATCCTTTATCCAAAAGAGACAAACTAGAAAAACCAGGGATACACAGTGAGTCTGAGAGGCTGAAAATGAACTTCTTCACAGTAAAAGGTGTGCAGATTATAGGGTACACCATCCTGAGTGGAGGTCCCTGTGTGGGGTCCCTTCAGCTTGGAGCACCAGAGGCTCGTATGGGGTATATCCAAGATATCCAAGAGGACAGGTGATCGGGAAGTTCACTGTGGCAGGGTCAGAATCCTGACAGCAGTGTGTTTGCACACTCAGTGCAACTACTGAGGAATCCACTTCTTCCAAACAACCCTGGTCTGCTGATGTCATCATTTCTCAGATACTTGAAATTAGAATTAATTAAATTAGAGCTAGGATTGTTCACTAATTTGTTAGCCTAGAGTAACTGCTTTCACTGCCCTACCCAGAATTACAATGTCAAATAATAATTCCCCTCCCTCATCATTCCTGGAGGGCCTAGTCTTTGGACCCTCTGACTCAGGGAAACAATGGTGTTTAGACTTCAGGAATACTGCAGTGATAAAAACAGTGGTTTGGGGAGCCTCCTTCAGAGACTTGCAGTGGGAACTTGAAGATTAAATCTGAAAGCCAAAAACACAACTGGTAACAGTGACCTAAATTTATCTTAGTTGCTAAGATAAATAAAAATATTTACATCATATACCAAAAGGTTACTGCAGGGACAATTCTTTAGAAGGCACTTGCTGATTTTTTGTGGCTGTAAATATGCATATCGATGTCAGAGGTCATGACTAAGGATGGTTAGTACTTGAGAAATGAGGTTCTGGGTGAAACTTCTGAGCAATGCTAACAGACATCCTTTAACAGATACTTTAAAAATCCCAATTCATTGTGCAGGCTACTATTGGTGTTAGAAGCCATTTGGTGGAACAGTCCATCATCTGGATACCAGATGTTCTGGAGCTCAGCAAGTCTGGGATAACTCACTCTCATATTCTTTGGAAAAGCTTTTTTTAGATGCATAGAGAGTTCTTTCTATTCAAACAGCTAATATTCTATAGTGTGTAATTGTGTATGTTCTTATTTCACTAACCCACAGTTACTGTTATTATCAACTCATATTTCCTATGACAGCCTACTGTGAGTAGAGCATGGCACTAAGAATGCTGGAGAATAACAAAATAAGTAGGATGGAAAAGCTGGTTGCTAAAGGCTATAGTCATTTCTTCTGATGATATAAAAAAGACAACATACAAACTTGTAACAGAAAAAGAAGGTAAAAACTTAACTAAGTGCAAACAAGCAAACGAAGGCCCACCTCTTTAAGCCTATTAAAATACCCGGATAGCTGGTCATGGTGATGCCTTTAATCCCAGCAGTACTTAAGAGGCAGACAGCAGGATCTCTGCAGGTTTGAGGTCAGCCTGGGCTACGTGGCAAGTTCCAGGTCATCCCTGGCTATATAAGCTTGACTCTGTCTCAAGAAAACAAAAAACAACAGAACAAAACAGAACCTAGACACTAAAACCTTTATGATTATAAGGAAATAAGCAGTTATTCCTTTTGCCTTTTCTTGTTTGTGTGTTTTTCTTTGACAAATATTTTCTAATAAATCTGAATTAGCAATTTATTATAAAGATACATGTTTTAAATAAATACCTTTTTTTATTAAAAAAAAAAGAAAGAAAAGGAAGGTATACACAGTACTATTAGGTTAAAGTCTACCCACTACAGAAAGCAAAGGGAATCATCTGTTTGACTTTTTCAGGATCGATTGTGTGTCAAAGGCCCCCCACCACCTCTGTTTAAATTCCCCTGTCCCTGGAAGTTTCCTGCTGTAGTTTCTCCCAAGCCCTTTGCCCATGTGCCATGTTATATCGGCGGGCTGTAGGCCACACAAGACTTGGCCAGAATAGAATATCTTGTATTTCCTTGGGAGGAAAAACAAATATCCCTCCCACTGTTTTCCAGCTATTGTGAGTTATTTGTTCATCATCTCTAGGTTCATCCCTTCTACATGTTAGTAACTGTCAGTTATTATAATGGTTAGTTTGTGGTTTGGGGCTTTTAATTGATTTAATAAGGCATTTTACACAGATGGACACAATACTTGAGGGGAAAAAAAAGAAATGTAGTGAGAGAAACGAGGGCAAGCAAAAATGTGGACAGGAAAAGGGCAAATGAAATAGCAATGAATTCACCCATAACTTCTCAGACCATGAATTTTAGATTCTCTTTTCTTATTTAAAATATTTTATTAATTATTTTTATTTTATGTATACACGTGTAGTACCTGCACGTATGTAAGTGCATCCCTATCATGCAAAGCCAGTCAGAAGAGGGCGTTGGATCCCCTGGAACTGGTATTATGGATGGTTGTTAGCCACCATGTGGGTGCTGGGAACCAAACCCAGGTCTCTGCAAGAGCAGTCAATGCTCTTAACTGCTGAGCCATCTCTCCAGCCCCCATGAAGTTTAGATTCTTAGGGAAGACACTTTCGGTCCCTGGCGTGGTAGTCCTTTCTCCACTTGTGACTTCCTGCTTCGGTCACTATGCTGTTCATAAGGCCCAGAGTACATATAAAGTAGTGCAAAGAACTTCTCTTATGTTACCAGCATTAGCAGCAGGTCTGGATCTTCCTTGAATGCAGAGTAAAAGCCTGACAAATAATTTGGGTCAGAGTTACTTATTGAGTCTTACTGTGGGCAGGGCCTGACCATATCCCCCATCCATCCTTTGCTATGGGAACTCTCTTCATTCCTCTCATCAGATGGGTGTTAGTGTTAGTGTTTTCTTTTAGTGTTCACTACATAGTGAGTGTTTACTGGGCTTGGGGCACATTTCTGTGCATTTGTCACAAAAAGTGCTGCCATTTGTAAGTCCTATCTTTGAAGAGCTTAGAGTAGAGGCTTGTAGATTTGGTATGTCTAGTTTTTTAAAAAAGACCACCATAACTTCTTAGAAATATTCAATCTAGACTTTAGTATTGCTGGGCTAGATCTCCTGGCTTGTAGATATGTCTATTATATATTGTTAAGTGGAAAAAGCAAGGGACAGAGTATTATGTAAAGTAGGCCTCTTCTCTTATAAAAACCACATACTCTGTCAAATACATGTGTTTGTATGTTAGTGAGGTTTGTGTAAGCAAAGAGTTGAGATGTGGAAAGCTCTACATGAGACTGTTGGCATTGGTAAATATTGACAACTAGATGGGCTTGCTAAGTAGGAGAAAGGTTAGAGGAGAGGGAGCACATCAGCTTTTTCTTTAAAAGAGGAAATTGCTTTTAATTACAATAACAGCTGTTAGCAATATTTTCGCTATCAGTAAGCATGATAAACATGTACTGTAATTTTCATTTGAAGGCATCATGCCTATAATCCTAATACTTGGAAGGTTGAACCTGGAAGATTGCTACAAGTTTGAGCCTAGCTGAGACTACTTAATGAGCTCTAGTTCAGCCTGGGCTACAGCGTTAAACCCTGTCTCCAACAACAACAAAAAGAAGGCGTCACATGAATTTTTAGAAACATATTTAATGAATGACAACCATTTGTTTGATCTGAAATTTTGTTTTGTGTTTGATCAGCACATCATGCAGCGAATTCAAAGACTGCAGGCTGACTGGGTCTTGGAAGTAGACACCTTCTTGAGTAAGACACCATATGGGTACCGGTCCTTCTCAAATATCATCGGCACTCTTAACCCGGATGCTAAACGACATTTGGTCCTCGCCTGCCACTATGACTCCAAGTATTTTCCCAGCTGGGATAACAGAGTATTTGTAGGAGCCACTGATTCAGCCGTGCCATGTGCAATGATGTTGGAACTAGCTCGTGCCTTAGACAAGAAACTCCTTTCATTAAAGGTATCTGCTTTCCTTTTGTGGACTCCTAGGATAAAATGCATAAACAGCAACCCAGAGTGAGTTCTAGAATCATTGGACTGAGAAGGCCATTTAGAAACTGAGAATTCTGGGTACATTTTAAAATAATTTGTTACAAAATATGAGGTTGATGGATGATGGAATAGTCGTTGAAAGAGCACATGATTTGAAATATGTTCCATGAGCAATAAATCACAGATAGATGACAATGTGTTAATTGGCATCTACTATCTCAGACTTGACTTGAATTAAATTAATTTAATTAAGTACAACATTTCTTCGCAAATAATGAAGAGGAAGGCTGTTTCAAGCCCAAGTGTGTGAATCGTGTTTTATATTGAACCGTGTTTATTTCTTCTTGCTATGAGACGTCACAACCTTTGCTGTGAGAAATGGTGGCTCTGGAGAGAGTGGGGGTGGGGAAAGGCTGTGGGAAGGCATTTCCAGAGTGTGGGTAACTCAGAGATAGGGAGGTGAAAAGCAGGAGGCAGGAATGCCTTCTTGTTATTATCTGTGACTCTCAGCTCAGTTTTATGTAGCACAGCAGAGCTTTTGTTATGCTCGCAGCTCAAGATACTTCTGGAACTTTCAGATGTTATTTCAGTCTCTGTTTTTAAGAGTATATTGGAAGAAAGTGCTAAATGAGATGAAGACATTTTGTTCTGATACCACTCATAACCAAGCAAATATGACAAAGCAAAAACAAAAACTTTGTTCATAGGCAATAAATGTCTTCCCACTATCCCGGGCTTCACAAAGAGTCCAGCCTTTGATACAATGGGGGTAAAGAAGTAAAAGGTTTATCTTGTAATGGAAGTAATAGAGATATTTGGTTCTATTGCTGGATATGCTGAACTTGAAGAAAGCAAGACTTGTTTATACCCTCTCAATATCCTTTTCACTGGTTTTTCATTTTGTTTTGTTTTCTGAGCCTTCTATAATGCCTTTGTCCCATGCCTTGTCCTGCTTTGAACTTGTATTCATCCCAAGAAGTGGGTGAGAGAACTCATAAACTGAGAGGCTATCTTAATTTTTCATATTTGCATTTCTAACATAAGGACATGAAATGAGAGAAGTGTGACCAAAAGGCACAGTTCTGCGTGGCAGGTGTGTGTTCTCTTTAGTGGGCTACTTTGCCTTCTTTCCACACAGCACACATCTGCTTTTGGTGACAAGAAATGCAGGCATTGTGGCATATGCCTGTAATCCCAGCGCTGATCCCAGACTAAGGCAGGAAGATGCTATGGGTTGGAGACCACCCTGAACTGCATAGTAGTAAGTTCCAGGCCAGGCAGGTCTACAAAAAAGAAATGATGATGATGAAAAGGAATAGAAAGACTGAATTATTGGATGGGGAATCCATCTTAATTACCTTTTCTTTTCTTTGGTCTTTTAGAAACAGGGTCTCCCTATATCCCCAGTTGGCCTGGAACTCACTCTGTAGTCCAAACTGGCCTTGAACTTGCAGAGATCCACCTGCCTCTGCCTCTCAAGTACAGAAATTAAAAATGTGCACTACCATGCCTGGCTTAATTACCTTTTCTATTAGAGGTAAATGGTGATGTGGAGAATTTTTAAATGGGCTAATTTTGAAGGTAAACAATATCAGATTTATTAGTCCAGCTGTATCTTAACTGAATTTTTGGGAGGACATGAGTTCTTTAGCCATCATTACTTGGGCAGGTGGTGGTGGGAAGCAGTCTGGGAGGGAGCTGGCTAGATTATTGTTCCAACTCTTTGCAGCTCTTCCTATTGCTTTCCAGTAATAGCACAGTAATTACATACCCAGATCTTGTGTCTTAACTTTGCTGTGTCCTCCCAATGTATCCAGTTGCACTTCTTTATCCCTTGACCGTGGACTTCTCTATTGCTTTTCTTGGACAACGGGATGGTAGTGGTGTGACCTGAGGCTAGGTATGTGCTTGCTGTCCCTGTCTTTGCCATCATCACAACAAAGACATGCTCTGACTGGCCTGCCAATCCTAGCAGGAGGATGAGGTGCCAGTGGGTCATACTCAAGCTCAGGGGCTTCAGGGGGAAGCACAGCTGCTCAAGCCAAAGTCAGTCCAGGCCTCTTGTTCCCTGGCTGACATAGAAGTTACATATTCAGGCGCAGGTATAATTGTTTTAAGCTACTGGATTTGGGGTGGTTTGTTACACTTTACTACTGGAGTATTAGCTAAGTTATATAACCTTGGCTTGTGAAACACTACAGAATAGTCAATGCTTTTTGACACCTCATAACTAAACTCTTATAAACTCTTATAACCATCAAAACTTTCACAGCCAGGCTTGTGGTATACACTGTAATCCCAGCTACTCAGAAGGCTGAGGTAAGAACACAAGTTCAAGGCCTGACTGGACTACAGAGAGAGTTCACGGCCAACCTGAGCAACTTACTGAAAACCTTGTCTAAAACAAAAAGTAATATTGGGCTGGCGCTGTAGCAGTTCAGCAATAGAGTACCTGCCTCACATGCATGAGGCTTTGGGTTCAATTCTAGTACTGAAAAGAAAATTAAGAAAAAATACTATTACAAATCAGGCCACATGGATTCTTCTAACTCCCAAGTATAAGCCTAGGTTAGTAGACCATTAAAGACCATGATTTTTTTTTCCTGCCAGTTCTGAAAATAAACAAAGAGCAGGTTGCCTCATAGAATTCAGATCAGTATCCACACAGTTTACTCCTGTCTAAATGAATTGATGCTAAGAGAATGAAATGAAAGTAAACCATGTATTATTTATTTATTTATTATTTATTTATTTATTTATTTATTTATTTATTAGTGAACCTTCAAGCCTGAAGAAAATGAAAAATACCTCTCATTGCCTCAACCCTGGGCATGGGAAGAATACTCTTGCCCTGGCCATGGGGAGAATGTTTCTGGTTCCATGCAATCTGATTCTGCCTTCTTCCATGATTATGTTGTTTGATTTGGAGCACTAAAAGCTTCTTTTTTGTTTACAACTGGAAGCTTAGACTATCTTCACTGAAGTATGTACCTCATATCTCTGCAAATAAGAAAATCTATTTGACTATATAGTCCTTATTAAACCCCCAGGGCATGTATGTTATAGGGATACATATTTTGCTTAATACTATCCAGGGTTATTGGGGATCAGAGTATAATGAGCTGTCTTACTACTAAGAAAACTGAAATACTTAGCATACAAAACACTTTAACTTTCAGATGATTAAAAACTGTTTTTCTTTTTTTTTTTTAATGCACCATCCTAAAGCAATCAAGAAAACTATCTTTGAAGAAACCAGGCACATGTGTTAGTGGCCCCACAGTATGAAAACAAGAGTAGAGAGAAGCCACATTTCCTGGTGAAGGGAAGAAGAGTTAGAAGATGCCAAGTGGTCTCTTCACAAAAATCACAGAAGGGATCAGGGGTTAGAAAAGGTGGGAGATAGCTTTGCAGAGGCACTATGAGCTAGATTGGGGTGCGTGTGTGCCTGTGTAGAAACAGAAAAGAGACAGGGAGGAGACTTTTGGGAGTAATTGAAAAGGATAGTGTTGTCATCAGTTTATTTGGGGAAGGTTATTGATAATGTAAATTTTAGGAGGAACACACGTTTTGACACAATGTTTGAGATGTCTATTTAATTTTTTTTGTATTGCATATGTGTGTCATATGTATGTATAAACATGTAAATATATGTATGAGTATATATATTCAGAATAGATACCAGCAGAGATGAGAAGGGATCCAAGGAGCATGCTCTGGGACTTTTTTGCTTTCAAAAGGAAGAGACAGGAAGGGAATCATTAGCTGACTGAGGGAGAAGAAGATGGTGTCCTTAGAGCCAAATGGTGGAAGTGTACCCAAGAGGGAACAGTTACGCCAAATTAGTTTATCTTTGGAGTTTGCAATGTAGAGATCGTGAGTATCCTTGATAAGAACAGTTTTAGTAGATGGAAGAGATGAAGCCAGAAGGGATAGGTCTAAGACTAGCACTCAGAAAAGGACTGGGGATGTGGCTCAGTTGGTAGAGTACTGGCCTTGCATGCATGGGGCTCTGGATTCAATCCCCAGGACTACAAAAAATGAAACTCAAGAATAGGACTTGGACACAGTACAAATACAGAACCTTCCAGTGAGTTTTTCTATGAATGGAATAAGAAATGGACAAATAGTTAGCAAAGTTAGTGGACCCAAGCATGTTTTTTAGGCTGATGGGGATTATCTAGCAGAAACAGAAAACTTGATGTAGGAGAAATGATGTTTGCAAAAGCTATGCCCTTGCGCAGATGAGAGAAGACGGGATTTAGTGCATTTGTGGAGAGATTGGCATCTAAGGAAACTGTCAAGAAGAAATCAAGGTCATCACTTGGGAGTGAGGATGGGTGAGGTGAAGTACTGCAGGTTAGGGAGAGGAGTGTAAGAATGAATGAACATAGGACAGTGTGACCTCCAGTTAAAACAAAAGGCTGACTTAGAGTTTGTGGTCATGGATTTTAAGCTAGTATATTTTCAGTAGCCAGGTTCAGCCCCTCAAACATAGGCACAATAAGTAGGTAGATGACAGGACTCAATGTTATTGTTTTTGCCGTCAAAGTGTGACCAGGCAGAGAAACAAGGGAGCCAAGAGTAGATACAAGGGACCAATCAGAATGTTTACTTGGAATTCAGCTGAACCTGGAGTGAAATGGGGTCATTATGGGAGCACAGCTGTGAAGAGGTGAGATTCAACAGATTAGAGGATTCTGGTGAGGTTGAAGGACTGTGAAGATTTAAGAACCGAACGAACTGATTTGAAAAGGAGTCATTGCCAGCAGTGAAAAGTGAAAATCTTTTTAGTTTTGCTCAAACACTGTCTCTTTCATAAAGCTTTCCAGGATGCCCCAAGGATTCCACCTCTCATTCTTTTCAATTTCTATTGGATGTATGTTATACTTGTGCCTCTCTGCATATTATAATCCATGCTTATGTGTCTAATCTCTCATAACCCAACTAAACTATAGGCTGTTTTAGGAGAAAGGCTTTAATTGTTCCTTCTGTCCCTGCATTATTCCTAGGACAGACTGCTGAGCTCAGATTTAATAAAAAATTTAGACTTACATAGGTGAGAGGGAAGAAGATGCCCAGTTGTTTCAGGTTGGGTTCCTAGGAAGCACATTCCGGGGTGGAGCATCATCTGATGAGCATTCAGGTCACTGAGTAGGGAGTGACCTTGGATCAACATTGGAGGTAGGTAGAGGGAAGAAATGGGATTAGGAAGAGAGAGCAGTAGAGCTGCACTGCAAGTTCTGCAGCAGCTTCAGCCAACCTCTGTGGAGCTGTGGAGGTGGTGGCTCTGTACAGGGCTCTCAGTGCTGGTGTAGGTAGTCATGGGATGTAGGATCCTCCCAGAAGGGACAGCCCAGGAGAAGTAATCTTTGGAGTAGGAGTGGCTAACAGCTCTCCCAGCAAACGGGAGAACACATCCACCTGAAGGGGAACTATGTGGCACATCGCAGTGTTCGCTGCAGGAGTTCCATAGTCTGAAAATTCGCTAAGGAGTAAGAACAAATATAAAACATCTATTTTTAAGAGTTGGAGGTGAGATTTAAATGGGCAAAGATTGCAGAATATGTGATTTTTGGCACAAAGGTAGTGTGAAATAACTTTTGACATCTTTGCTTCATGGAACATCTGTTTTTTTGTCCAGTTCCTAGGAAAGCATGTGAGTTTTTAAATGACCAGAGAATTTTTGCTCTTTCTTTACCTGATGATCCTCATAAGCCCATCATGAAGATACACTGTTTATAAATATCTCTGAAGACAATTCTAAGTCAATATGTACTTATTAAGCGCTTTTTAATATAGTCTGTGAGTCTGTGATTGGTCAGAGTTAGAGTTTTTACTTGCTCTTTTCAAATTTTATTAATTTATTTATTATTTTAATTTTATGTAATGAGTGTATTACCTGCATGGATGTAAATGCACTGGTGCCGGGGCAGTGCCCAAGGAGGCCAGAAAAGGTTATCAGATTCCCTGGAACTGAAGTTACAGATGTTTGTTAGTCACCATGTGGGTGTTGGGAATTGAAACTGTGTCCTCTGCAAGAACAGCCAGTGCTCTTAACCACTGGGCCTTCCCTCCACCCGCTTCACTTGCTCTCTTAAAAATTTTTTTTTCCAGAATGTCTCTGGTTCTAAGCCAGATCTCTCACTGCAGCTAATTTTCTTTGATGGAGAAGAGGCTTTCCTTCACTGGTCTCCTCAAGATTCTCTGTATGGGTCTCGGCACTTGGCCCTGAAGATGGCATCAACTCCACACCCACCTGGAGCAAGAGGCACTAACCAACTGGATGGCATGGTTAGTCAGAGTAATCATTATAGCTCTGTAGCTTAGTCTCTGCCTCCAAAGAAAAGGTTGCTAACACCAAGACCTAAAAGTGCCATGAAATTCTCAGAGCAGTGTTTATTATAGAACATTCCTTGGCAAGCACTGAGTTTTTGAGGAACTCCAGAGCTAAAATGAATAATTCTGGGTTAGAAGCCATGTTTGGCTGAACCTAATTAAAATGATGTCAAAATCAGATTAAGGAACCATATATCCAGTGTGCACATTCCCCAAATACTGTGTGGAGTGGAGAGAGAAAAGCCTTAGCACAGACAGGAGAGGCTAGGGAAATGGAGTAAGAGGAGACAGGCGCAAGGACTTTTCTGTGTTTTTAAAGCTTTGTAGTAACCCTAGTGTGGATATTTCATTTGATGTGCTAGATCAATATGGCATTTTTAACATGGAGGTGGAGACATTCTGATGCTGCCTTAAAATTCTGATACTAAGTAATGGATCCAGCACCCAAGGCTCATTTTTGTCTTTGTTTCTGTACCCTGCTAGTAAATCCTTTCCCCGTGACTCTCTCCGTACTTGATCTTTACTCTCCCTACTTGATCTTTACTCTCCCTAAGTCTTCACCAACCCCAGCTTAGACCCTCACACTACCCTTGAGTGTTCTTCATCTATCTCTGACCCTCACCCCATCTGTAAACTAATAACCTCTTCCTAACCTCTCCACTCTACATCCACTTGTCAGTGTTGTATGTCCTTTTATAGACCTTCACTCTATGAATCAAAAGGCTATTTAATGTCATCTATGGCTTTTTGTAACACTTCTTATGTTAAAATGGCCCCTCCATGTATACTAGCAGCTTGTCATGGGTCAGGGGAATATGATCACGACTTTATTAATTTACTTGTGCCCAAGTGGCTCAGTAGGGTTCAGGAAAAGGAGAAGAGACCTAGATGATGATTAATAGTGGGAACAGTTATTTATCAGTCCGGATGTATAATCCAAACTGATGGAAAAGATAATTTTCCAGATAGTGATTTATTCAATCTCGTGATATGCTCCCATTTCAAACAAGTCTATTTTCCCAATGATGAGTATATGTCTTTGGAATCCTAAAATCTGAAAATATTCATCTAGTATGTGTCAGATTTCACACTTGATTCCCATACACCGTTTCACTTACATAAATCAAGAAGACAATATAAGGGGTAGTCTTCAGGGAGTCCTCAAGCCTGCTGACATTTTGTGGCTCAAATAAGTTAAAGAACATTGGTTTAATTATGGAAGCTTATAACCAGAAGGGGACTTAGAGATTCACCAGGTTGAGCTCCTTGTTTGATAGGAAATGGAGACCTTGATGTCATATAGTTTCTTTTCAATGAAAAAAATTTTTTGAGACAAGATCTCCCTGTAGCCCCAGCTGACCTGAAACTTGCTGTGTAGACCAGGCTGGCCTTGATCTCATAGAGATCTGACTGCCTCTGCCTTCTGAGTGCTGAGATTAAAGGCTTGCACCACCATGCCTGACTTCAAGGAATTTTTCTTACATGCTGCATGATCCATAGCTTTCATCCAAGTGCTCTCCTGGAAGATATTATGTCATTACAGATTAAAGATAAAAAGACTAATTAGAATGGGCCAGGAGCTCAAACAGGCTTAAAGGCCCATCTAAAAATAAAGTAGGTATATTTTTTGATATACGAAATATGGGGGCTGGAGAGATGGCTCAGCAGTTAAGAGCTCTGGCTGCTTTTGCAGAGAACTTGGGTTTGATTCCCAGTTCCCACATGGTGGCTAACAACCATTCATAACTGCAGTTCTAGGGGATCTGACTTCCTCTTCTGACCTCCACAGGTATTGCATGACATGGATGCACTTACCTACTTATAGGCAATACACTCAAACACATAAAAAATAAAAGATAATAAAATATTTTAAAAATATGAAATATATGTCAAATAACCCTTTCTGATCTGTCCTTAGTTATATCTTTTTGATGTATAATACATCAGCACGTGTCCATACTGCATAAGTAAGATTTACCAGGTTCTTCAATTAGCAAACAATATAATTAAACCTTTTGTTCATTTATACAGATCTGTGTAATATCCTCAATTATTAAAATGCATTTAGTTTTGACTTTTTTCTGTTGAAAAATATGAAACATGTTTTGTTGATTGTAATTATACAATATTTTTCTTCCTTAGGATTTATTGGTCTTATTAGATTTAATTGGAGCTGAAAATCCAACATTTCCCAACTTTTTTCCAAAGTCTGCCAGATGGTTTGATAGACTTTGGGCAATTGGTAAGTACTACTAGAGTAAAATGTGACTTCTTTCTACTGACAAGTACTACACTTTAAAATTCAAAATTCATGATTTAAGTGTGTGATTTAAATATATAATATTCTTCAATGGCATTTATCTTGTCCTACTAATTCCTTTATTATTCCTAATTCTCACAGGCCTAGTTTATTTTCTTACATGAAAGTTTATTTTGAAATTTAAACATCAAAACAGTACATTTTACATTTATATATTCTTAGAAATGATACCAAAAGTTACTCTTTAACTGAATTTATTTTCTATGTCTGTCTTTGAATTTTCTACCTTGTCCTGACATTCCAACTTTTTTTTTGTTTGTTTGTTTTTTGAGACAGGGTCTTTCTCTAGCCCCAGCTGGCCTGGAACTCACTATGTAGACCAGGCTGGAGTTGATCTCACAGAGATCTGCCTGCCTTTGCCTCCTGAGTGCTGGGATTAAAGGCTTGTGCCACCACGCCTTGCCATTCCAACTTTTCAAAGAGATGAGGCATCAAGAGAAAGAGATCTGTTCAGAGCCATTGATAAGATTTGAAGTGAAATAAATGTAAGTCAGCTAAGCAAGATCAAGTTGGACTGGGCCAGGAAACATCTATGGCTCAAAGATACCTGTGACTTGAAGGAATAGGAGAATGGCTTCTTTCCTCTGTACTTAAATCACCCCCAAACAAAACAAAATAAAACAAAATTTAAGTATCAGGGAAAGAAGAAAAGTACATATATACCTTTATTAAAGAGGCTAGGAGGTTGCTCTGAGGCAAAAACTTTGTGCTAGAAACTTGTTACAAGACACACAGACTTCTTGGAATACGGTAGAATCATGCTTCTATCATCTTAGCTTAAACCTTTGCATGAGTTGTCAAAACAGATCTAGAATTGCATGACAGAAACATCTACCTGAGCCTCAAGTGTTCATCTTAGGCAAATTTTCATTCCCAGTTCAAAGAATTGTTATTATGCTATTATGAACTCTTAATTATGATTAATATGAACTCCTTGGGCCCCTTCCTTGTAGCATGCTTCCCCTACTTTGAGCTTGTCTGTTTTCAAGGGTTTTGTGCATTTTCCTTGTTTCTCTGCCAGAATGCACATAATCAATTGCACCTTATTGCAATTATAACCCATTGTGCTGCCCTTCTTCCTGGGATTTACATTTTGAACTATATCTCTAATTGAAAAGAAAAATGTAACTTATAGTACATAGGAGCTATAGATACTGATAAACAAATAGGAATATTATTTTTGGTGGTTTTCAATGTTCCTAAAAATCCCATTATACATACTTGTTTACTGGTTGGTCCAATTTTAACCTTTAAATTTAACAATTTAAAAAATTAACAGCTATTCTGGGGAGTTTTTAATCATTGTTTTATAATTTTATGATCCCTAATCACCTTATAACATGGGCTGTATGTTCCAAAATGACAAGAGTGATGAGCTCTGTAGGCCAGTGATTCTCAAACTTTTGTGCTTATCAGAATCCCTTAAGGGCATGTTAAGGCATAGATCATTGGACTATTCCCCAGTATTTCTTATTCGGTAAGCCTGAGGTGGAATCAGATAATTTGCATTTCTAAGTCATTCCCAGGTGGTGCTGAGGCTGCTGATCAGGAGCCACACCTTGGGAATCATTGATATGAGTCACAGTAGATATGCTTTTCCCACAGAGTGGTCAGTTGATAGACTTCATCCTGTTTGAATATTCTACTTTTAAGCCTCCCACCTCTGTGTAGGCCTTCTCCTCACACCACCTGGACCTAGGAACATCTACACTTGAATTTTCCTGAAGCCTTTGACTCTGGTTTTCTCCTTCTCAACCTCACCATTGTTCTCCTGAGTTTTTACCCCAATGGGGTTCTCACCTTCAAAGCCAAAGCCTAGATGCTCAGTTTCATAGATACGCCCATGTTCACATATGATAAGATTTAAAGTTACTTAAATACGGATGCATTCTGGGTCTTGATCAGAAGAAAATAGATGTTCATCTACTGTCTAATTGTCATCTGCAGAACAGGAACTCCATGAATTGGGTTTTCTCAAGGACCATTCTTTGGAGAGGAGGTATTTCCAGAATTTTGGTTATGGAAATATTATTCAGGATGACCATGTTCCATTCTTAAGAAAAGGTAACTGCGTGTACATGTGCACATGCATTTTTGCCTACTGTGCCTACTGTATTTATTGTATTTTATGTGCATTTTGAAAATTTAAGACGACGTGTCATTTATCCACTCTTTTTGTCTGCTAGTTTTTAGTTAGTATATGTTAATTATACATAATGGGTTTCATTACGACATTTTCATATATATAGAATGGATTTAGAACACATTCATTCCCCTTTACTCTTTCTTGTTTTCCTCCCACACCTATTGGTCTTTTCCTCTTCCCAATTAATCTCCCCTCTACTTCCATGTCTTCTCCCCCCTATGACCCAACGAATTTCAAGGAGCATAGGTGAAATGTTGTTTATAGGAGCATGGGCACCTTGTCAGTGGCTACATCACTGAAGAAAATTATTCTCTCCCTCCAGCAACCATTAACTATGTATAAATCCTCAGGGAGGGATGAAACCTCATGAGCTCCTCCTTCCTCTTTCCACAGTGATATGATGTTGATGGGCCCAATCTTATGCAGATCACAGCTGTTGTAAGTTGAAGAGTGCAATGGCCATCTCATGTCCAGAAATCGTCATTTTCTACCATTCCGCCACCTTTCCTCGACTCTTACATTTTTCTTACCTCTCTTGCATGAAGTTCACTGAAGCTTGGAGAGGTGATAGATATTCCATTTCTGGATGAGCAGTCAGCACTCATTTATTCGCATCACTTTAAGTAGTTTGAGTCTCTGCAGTTACCACTGCCCAAAGCAAAAAGAAGCTTCCTGTTCCCTCAAACTTTACTTAGCTTCCTGGTGCCACTGAATAGCTTTCTTTGCAGTGAACGTTTCAAAGTCTCTGTTACACACAAAGAAGCAAATTAAACATGAATAACAATAACAACAGTAATAATGATAAAAATAATAATTGATGTATTTTCAATCACTAAGACCATGATTCTTTAAAGCTGACTGAACTAAGTTTATATATTCATGTTTTGACCAATCTAAAAGTGTTTTAAAAGATCTAAAATAAAGAGTAAAATTAATTTGAATCAGGCATGGTGGTACATGCCTTTAATCCTAGTACTTGAGAGCAGAGTCAGGCAGATCTCTGTGAGATTGAGACCAGCCTGGTCTACATAGTGAGTTACAGGCAGCTGGTGCTACAGGGAGACCCTGTTTTAAAAAAGCTAATAGTAGTAATAATTTGAATGGAAGTCTATTTTAAAAAAGGAAGCATATATATTTGCTTTAAATGTTTTAACCAATATGTTTCTTTTGATTATGTACCACAAGAGAGAAGTTAAATACTTGAGCCAAATTAAATGAGAAGGAAGAAATCTAGATACCCCCTTACCTAGTCTGTATCGATGCCAGGAATGATTTAGATGCAACATGTATACTATAGCATCCCCTTAGTAAGCCTTTCTGTTTGGGTGACCAGATGAAATGATAGAGCCCACTTGTGTTCATTGATATGAAAGAATGAGTGACATGAAATAAATGCTTTTTTCCTTGTCTTGCCCTTTTCAGGCAATGATCTGCATTCATCCAGTTGTTCAAGTCAGACTCCTGGGAGTTGTCCTTAGTTCAGCCCTTTCCCTTTGTTCCACATTCATATCTTATACACATTCATCTTTAAATTTTCAAGATGGCATCTAAGTTGAACACTATGTACAGCACTGGGCTTACATAATAATTCTTATTTCCCCTGATTTACAGCAATCCAGAAGTATCAGGAGCCATTAAACATAATAAATTGATTTCTTCAGCCATTCCATTGTGTCATTCGTCTCATGGCTTTTATTTTCTTATTTTAGACATTCCTAATTCTTGATGACATCTTTGGAACCCACTGACATCCGGGGTTTAGGATATCTTCCCTTCCATAAAGCTAGGGTGTATTCTTGCTCTTTGTGTAACTCTGATGTGATCTTGTTGATAAGGAAGCTATCCTGTGTCAAGGTGGTAGAAGTCTAAATCAACCCAGGGACTCTTGCAGTAGCTTCTCCAATGGTCTCTAAGTTTTACTCTTTCAACTCTGTTTGCACAGAAACTGGAATTCTCTTTTTAAAATGTAAATCAAATTATGCTAATACTATTTTAATGCTCTAGTGGTTTGCCATCTTGTAGAGTAAAACTGAAAGTCCTTTCCATGCCCTGTAAGAACTTCCATTTTCTGATTTTTTTCTCCTTTGATATCATCTCCAATTTTCATTTTCATTTTTTTCCCTGTGATTCTGCCATACTGGCTGTCTTGCTGTTTTCTAAGCAGGGAAACCCTCATGACCTTTGCATTTGGGAATATTGCTACCCGCAGTACTCATTCCCAGATCTTTGCCTGGCTTGCTTTCTCTTTGGCTTGTGGCTCTTTTTAAATGGTAGCTTTTGGAGAAGGCCTTCCCTGACTTTTAATACCTCCTCTCCCAGTATGGCTGCCCACCTTTCATCCTTACCCCCTCACTTTATTTTGTTATTCTTTTTAAAAAATACTTTATTATTTTTATTTTATGTGCATGAGTATATTGCTTGCATGTGTGTAAGTGCACCATGTCATTCAGTGCCCACGGAGGTCAGAAGAGGGTGTCAGATACCATGGAACTGGAATTATGGATAGTTATTAGCTGCTACATGGGGGCTGGGAACTGAACCCAGATCCTCTGCAAGAGAAGCCAGTGCTTTTAACTGCTGAGCCATCTCTCCAGACCCTGTTTTGTTATTCTTGATAAACTTTAGCATTTCTTATAGCTGTGTCTTGTATGTGCTTACTGGATTAATTAATGTTTGATAAGCCAATGTTTTTGGACTACAAGGATAAGACATAGAGAAGCGAAGGAGAGATGATGAATTATCAGATGTCATATGATATAGAACTCTCTCTGCTTGCAGAATGTCACTTTCTAGTTGACCCATTGGAAATATACAGTAAATTACAAGTTGATTCTCTCCCATTAGGTGTTCCAGTTCTTCATCTGATAGCGTCTCCTTTCCCTGCAGTATGGCATACCATGGATGATAATGAAGAAAATTTGAATGAGTCAACTATTGACAATCTAAACAAAATCATTCAAGTCTTTGTGTTGGAATATCTTCATTTGTAACATTCTAATTCAGTTCATGGCAATTGCTTCTATAACAAATACAAAGGACATTATTTAAATGATTTGATTCCAGATAAATCTTGTGTATAAACTTCTGTCCTATAGATTTACTCTGTAGGTATCTTTGAATATGTGATCAATGAATCATAGAATTCTCTTATGCTATCAATTGCTCATTAAGTTTTTATCTACAGATAAGGAATATGTAAAGAAAAGTAAAAATAGTCTCTTGAAAGCCCTTTAGATAAAAACTTTGAAATGAATTTAGATTCACCTGTCAATATCATAGACTTTTAAACAACACTTAGATATGATGGTGTTCAGTGTATAGCTGTAGTTTAATGATTTGTTACATGTTATATAATGTTATATAACACAATGTAGATGTACTTTAACAGCCCTTAAATTTCTTTGTGAAATCTTTGTGAAGTTTATTTTACGGAAATTAAAATCTGAATTAAATGCCATTTTGTAAGTTTTTTACGTACATAAATGAAAATGTGATTTAATGTATAGTTCAATTTTTATTTAACTTCACAACTTTAACATTTTCTTGTAAAAATAATACAGTCAGTAACAAAATCATTGGAAAAAAGATTAAAAATGAAAAATATGGGGACTGGAGAGATGGCTCAGTGGTTAAGAGCACTGGCTTCTCTTTCAGAGGACCTGAGTTCAATTTCCAGCACCCACATGGCAGCTAACAACTGTCCATAGCTCCAGTTCCAGGGGATCTGACACCCTCTTCTGACCTCTGCGGGCATTGCACGACATGAATGCACTTACATACATGCAGGCAATACACTCATACACATAAAATAAAAATAACAAATAAAATATTAAAAAATGAAAAATATCCCATTGTATTAATAGAATCACTATTGCCTCTTTAGTTTCTCTCTCTCTCTCTCTCTCTCTCTCTCTCTCTCTCTCTCTCGTCTTTTTGAGACAGGGTCTCTCTGTAGCCCCAGCTGGCCTGGAACTCGCTATGTTCCAGGCTGGCCTTGAACTCGTAGAGATCTACCTGCCTCCCGAGTGCTGAGATTAAAGGCATGCACCACCACGTCCAGCTATGTTTCTCTCTCTTTTTTTAAATTGCAAATATTTCTTATATTTCTTATATGGGTATAATCAAACTATATCTCTAATTTTGGGGGACTTTCCCTCCTGTTAATGTATTTGATGTTTGGGTCTTGGGTTGAGATAAAGACAGAAAAGACCATTGAGGCCTTTAGAGTCATTATTAAGGTATGAGTTTAGTAGCATATAAGCTTTGTTAATTTTTATGCAGGTAGATTATGTGGCATTCAGGATTATATTATAGCATTAATTACAGCATTTTTCTCCCTGGAATCACATAGGAATCCTGGATTATCTTTAGAGACAGGAAGCAATTATCAAGAAACAGTAATCTTGATTAATTGAACAATTAGGGAAATTGGCCCATCTGTATAAATGAAGTTAGCTGTGGCCACTGTTCTCTATGTGTCCTATGTTCAAGGCAGACATGGAGTAAATACTCAGTTATTCTCTGGCTAGGTAGAGCATTGGACAGACCAGATGAGTTGGGAGGCAGTATCAACTTTAAGTTAACTACAATGGAAGTCATGGAGAAAGTAATTTACCTACTAAAATATAATTTCTGGCAAGAAGAAAAAAGCATAATTTAAATTTTATGGCTGTGTGTAATTATGTACAAGAATATCCTCATAATCATGCATGTTATATAATTTGTAAACACATTACAATTTCATATTTTACACAATTAAATTTTTCGTAGAATTTCTTTTTGTTTTATAATGCTGCTCCTAAAGTTATACAAGGAATGTGTGTGCTTGTGAATTATTATTATTATTTTTTTGTGTGAGACAGGGTTCCATGTACACCAGGATCACCTCAAACTCACTATGTAGGTGAGGATGACCTTGAACTTCTGATAATCCTATCTCTATCCTTTGAGTGATGAAATCACAGGTGTGTGCCACCATGCCCAGTGTATGTGGTGCTGGGAATGGAACCCAGGGCTTTGTGCATTCTAGGTAAGCACTCTATCAACAGCATTACATTCCCAGGCCTACAAGTCAATATTAGGAATTAATGCTTGAGTGCTATCTCTCTGACAGACAATGCTAGAAGTGCTTTGTATGTTTTTACCAACACAATCCTTACACCATCCCAAGAGCAAAGTGTTATTATTACATTCACTTTATGGCACACAGAATGGTTAACTGTATTTTTCAAGATCGTGTAGCTAATATGACAATGGTGAGATTTTACCCAGAACTTTAGAGTCTGGCCCTCAAGCTCACACATACTCTGGACCACTGTGGAGTATTGTCTCAGTACAGGAAAAGAACTTTGCAGAAGATTGTTAGTGTCAAACACAAAGTGAAAGTTGTATCTTGAAAATTTTATAGGTCATTCCCTCAATCTGGGTAGTATTCTTGAATCCTCGTTGCTAAGATTCACCTCACAATGTTAGGCATCAAAGGCACATCATCTCTATGCAGAATTACATCTCTGCCATACCAGAGGCTATTTTTGCATTAGTCTGAGTACAAGAGAAATCAACACAAGTGATTCCAGAGCTAAAGAATTTAAGCCACAAAGCAGGATTAAAGGGAGATGAGTTTTCCAGATTAATGTTTTACATGACAAAATAGTTAAAAGGAATTCAGGGAAGACACATTTTTAACATCAGAAAAGAAATAACTTCATGATATATGGTTTAAGTGATAATAGCTTAATGGACAATAAGCATCAGGAAAATGGGTTTTCATAAGGAATCTAAACTTTAGCCGACAGTACTGCATATATAATTATAAGATGAAATGATAAGCTCCTTTTGAGGCAGAATGAAATTAATAGAACTGCTATAATCTGTTGAATTGGCATTCACAGAATTATTTTTAAAGGAGTCAGAGGATATGCTGAAATGGGATACAGAGGAAAGTGAAAACACAAGCAGCTTCATCCAATGAGGGCTTTCTTGCTTTGCAATGGCATACACTTCTATTTATCAAGCGTTGGCACGAATATGAAGAAAGCAATCATGAGGTCATAAAGGGAGACATTTTAGGGTATTAATTTTGATAGTAATCTCGGAAATATGTTCTGTATAATTTATGCCAGTCAGAAATATTACTTTTTGAAAATTACAGCTGCAAAGGCAGGATTCCATAAACATTATGTTGTGTCAGGAATTTATCTGTGCGCATTGTGGAGCATTTTACTACCACTAAGAGAACCATTCATACGTTTTGCCTCTGAGTGTCAACTCTGCAATACATGGGGTTATTTTTCTTCTTCAAGAGAAACGAGTTCAAAGGAAGATATTCATAAAAGAGTATTCATAACTTTGGCATCTAAAAAGAAGTCATGAGCCTGTTATTGTAGCTTGAGGGCTGCCTGTGGTTGGAAGAGAAAAGACAGATCCTTAAAATGGAGAAACATTTCAGATAGGGAACCACTTGTCAAAAGAACAAAGCAGCCCATGTTTGCAGCTCCAGCTCAGATCCTTAAACAGTTTATCTCGTGAAGCTTCTTTCAGTTCATCAAAGAAATACATTTATTACGATGTCCCAGCAAAAATCATGTGAAAAGTTGAACATTTGCTCTATCAAATTGGTCCAGCTGGAGATGATTACTTTACATAAAGGAGGAACAGCCAAGACTCTAGATTCTTCCATTTCTCTAACATATAGACACTTCCATGTGAGGCTTGATCATATCCTGTTCTGATGAATATCACATCTCAGTTTCTTTGGAAGATGTAAACTTGAGGAAGGTATGAAGACCATGGAAATAAAGGGAAGATGAGGGAGAATATTCTGTAACTTACAGCACAGCTAAGGTGGGAAATTACTTAAATTTTCTATCCAGAAAGGTATAGGTTTTCTTCACAGCCTCCCTTCCTGCAAACTTCAGGCTTCAAAGCTGAATGCAGGAAAACTGAGGTTTCCCTCTGAGTTTCAGGGCCGCTGTCTATGCAGCCTGAAACTTTAAAGTAGTTTTGAAGTGGTTTGACTTCCTCTTCTTACTTCCGCCCTTTGTCTTACTTCTCTGACACCCACGGTTCATCTTTTTTAGCCTTCATACAATGAAATGGTTGTGCTGCTGCATGGGACAGAGGTCATGGTGTAAAGCCACTGTCACAGAGAGGAGAGGTATCAGTTAGCTCACTGAGTAGTAGGGCGGTAGTGGATATTCCTCAAATCCTTTTACCCGTGAAAATTGGCCCCAGAATTCTGGCAATATACCCAACAGCAATAATTTATGACAGTTTTGAAGAGAGCTGGATGAAAGGCCTGCCTGTGTTGTGGCTGGATCCCTCAGCCTGAATTTGGTTGGTATGCTCACGCAATGTGAAGTCATCTTATTGTGCTCAGATTTCAAAGGCAATGCATGAAACATGGCCCAGTCTCTTGACATATCCAAATTTGCCAGGGGAGCATTTAGACCATTTGAGAATTAATATTAAGAGCACATACTTACCAAGGAGAGAAAGCAAACTAGCTTAAAGCAAAAGATAATCAAGTTCACAAGCACTACAAAGATAACAAAAGTAGATTTAAAAACTGATGAAGTATAAGTAACAATATTTATAAATAGCACTGGAAACGTTGCTCTCTTTCACCTACTTAACAGTATGGGTACAAGAGGTCCTTGGCATTCATGGGTTTAATATTTGTGGTTTTGGCTAACAAAGAATGACATGTAGTAAATTATGTCCCTGAAGGGATCAGAGTTGGGTTGTGGAGTACAGCTGACTCCCAGCCATCAATGTCATTGCTGTTCTCATTCGTAAAGGAACACTTGGGTCCATTTCCCTGTTAACATGAGCCTCCCACTACCCCCTAAGCCAGCTGCTCTTGCTAGAGTGTAATTAAAGAGGTCTAGAAAAATGATGGCTGCAGAGATTAGCTATGTGTGCTGGATAGCTTTAGTGTCAACTTGACACACCTGGGTTGAGGGAGCCTCAATTGGAGAATTGTCTCCATTGAACTGGCCTGTGGCCATGTCTGTGAGGCACCTTCTTGATTGTTATGTGATGTGGGAAGGCCCAGCCTACTGTGGATGGTGCCACCCCTGGGTAGATGGCCCTGTGTTGTATAAGAAAGCAGGCTGAGCAGGGGCCAGGGAAGCAAGTCAGTAAGCAGTGATCCTCCATGGCCTGCCCTCCAGCTCCTGATTCCAGGTTCCTGCCCTGAGTTCCTACCTTGGGCTCCCTGATGAACTGTGACCTGGGAGATGTAAGACAAATAAATCCTTTCCTCCTCAAGTTAGTAGAGGTCAGAGTGTTTTGTCATAGCAATGGAGAAACAAACTAAGACACTGTTCAAGTTACTTCATCTTTTATTGATAAGAGAGTTAAAAGATCACTTTAAAATTTGATTTTTTTCTCTTTTTTTTAGTGTGGAAAAGCATATATATTAAAGTTAGTCAAGTGTTTAGGACATGTCTCCTG